TGCTGATGGCTAGGCGAGTCAACCTGATCAAATTCTCATCTTCCCAAGGCCTCAATTTCCTCTTTCAAAATGAGAGGTTTAAAATAGATCATCTCTGAGATTGCTTCTGACTCTGAAAAAGGAGTGACTGGCTTCCAAAAGGCAACGTTTTTTTGTGAGGACACACGTTGGGCTTCCTAACAGTGAGAATGGATATCGGCGTCTTCTCCCTCGAACAGAGTGAGCCTCGTTCTTGTTAGTAGAGTGCGTTAGCCTTCCCTAGAGCCTTACTCCGTATCGTGTGTTAGTATTCAGGCATCTGTACCGGCCTGCCCTTTGGGTCCAGACAGAATACGTGCACCCTCAGCTTCAGCCACTAAGTGTACCTCCTGTGCACATTCACTACGTTCCCATTTAAAAGGTGGTCCTTGCCCACCTCCCATCTCTCTCTCTATACATATCTGTCTGTCTCTCTCCCTCCACATTTCTCTTCTGCACTCTTGTCCTCAGGGACCAGTCTCTGCCTCCCTCTCCGCTTTTTTCTCTGTCCCTTCTTTCTCCTTTTCCAATATATTTCCAATGTGAGCCCCGTTGCATGGTGTGACTCCTTCCTGCTGCTTCTTTTTTAAATTATAACATTGGCTCCCCGAGAAAGGCTCTCCTGCTCCCTCCTCTTCCCCACAGGCAGTCTGAGGGATGCTGGGACCCTGGAACCGAGTCCACACATGAGAGCCTCGCTTCTCCAGATCACTGGGTCCCTCCATTCAACAGTGGCGTGATTGGTGAGTCCCTCCCGCTTCCCCACCTGGGCTCTTTCCCGCGAATGAGGACTTGCCTCTCGAGTGTGGTTTCTCACTTTTTAGCCTCATGAAGCCCTGGCTCCAGGTAATCACGCCTCTCAGAGCCCTTAGCCCCTGCCCTTACTGGTAGCCTGTGCCTTTCTTGTGCTTTGAACCCCTGGGTCTTTAGAGCGTTGCCCTTTGGCCCTGTTCCTTGGAATGACAAATCACCAAGCGGCTTCTGCCTTTCTTGCTCAATCCTCACTTGCTAAAAGCCACTGGATCTTGTTCTACCTCACTCATGGGGAACAAGCCTGTGAAAAATCTGCTTCCTGGCCTTTATATCCTGATAGCTTATGGGAGCTTGGCAACATTCTGCCAGCGACCCCAATAGACGGAAGGAGGTGTATCTCCTTTTCACCCTTCACTCTTCTGCCTTTTCCCTCCCCGAATAAACCTCTTACATTCATTCTGTTGCATGAGGCATGTTTGCTCAGTGGCAGAGCCCACCGAAAGGTAATCACTTCACACTGGGGCCCTACCCACCTGCAACAAATCTGCTTCCTCGTTCATTGGCAGTTTTGCCTTCCAGTCAGTATTGGCAATTGGGTCTCTGACAGGGCTACCCACCCCTGACTATTCTCCTGGACGTGAGGCTGCATTTCTCGAGCACAGTCCTCCCTTCCCCTTCTGACTTTTCTCAAAGTCCTGGTACCATTGGCCACTGCTCTGTGTTTGACAAATCACGGAGCAGCCCGTGTCCTCTTAAAATCGCCTCACTCGTGGGAATTGTGTCATGGTTTAATACTTCCTTCTTTCCGCTGAGATGTTTTTTGGAGCCCCACTGACCATTCCTAATCAGCTATTGCTGCAGGATGACCAGCTGTTGGCCACAGAGTTGGCGGTGCAAGACTATGGAACATGTCTGGGTGGTGAGAAGCAACAGCACCCCAGAGGTACTAACTCTGCAATGACTGCCCTCAGTAAACAACCACCTGTGTTTCCTGGTACATTGTGTAGAAGGAGGGTGTTCAGGTGATGCTGCTGTGATGGGAAAGGATCATTGGCTTTAAGCCCTAGGGAGTCCACTTGGATCCAGCTCGAACAGCGTTTTGCGGGGTCCAAGTGGCACCCGTTGGTTCCACAGAGCCAGGACCGTGAAGTGAAACAGCCTGATACTCAAGGATATGGCCAACATCCCAGCTTTCTCAGCTCCCCCAAAGATGAATGACGCCCCCTCATGTCAACAGGAAGTACTCCCGAGAACATGGTGTCCTCATCCCCGCCTCACCTGCTGCCCCTTTCTAACTCCTCACCTTTTATAATAAATAAAAAAGGAGGAATATTAGTATTCAGGCATCTGGGCTGGCCTGACCTTGGGGTCCTTACAGTCTACATCCTCAGCTGCAGCCACTAAGAGCACCGCCTGTGCACATTCGGTACTCTCTCTCTCTCTCTCTCTCTCTCTCTCTCTCTCTCTCTCTCTCTCTCTCTCTCTCTCTTCCTCCCTCTCCTGTTACTCTTGTCCCCAGGGACCAGTCTTTGACCCCATCTCTGCCCCTTTCTCTGCTTCTTCTTTCTCCTCTTCCTATGTGAGCCCTGTCTCAAGGTGTGACTTCTCCCTGCCATTTCTTTTTTAAATTATTACACCACAGGCATTTGTATTTGGTGGCATCAATTACAGTTTGTAACTACAAATTGACCCGTGTAGTTAGGGTGCAGATCCAAAGGCAGGGAGCATGGATTTGGGTCCCTTGCCTGCTCCATGACATTGGTTAACCCAGTAGATTCTAAAAGGCACTCGGAGCTCTTGGGTTTTCAGTACTGGCTACTACACACCTAATACTTCTCCCTGCCCTTTGGGGAGACTAGTCTGGCATGAGTCTTTCATGCTGTAGGAAATATACTCCAACTATACAAAGTCACAGTGTGTATCTTCAAGTTCCAATGCCACTTCCTCCAGCTCTTAATGACAGCAGCCGAAGATGACGGTGTGCATATTCATACCAGTGTAACCCCATCTGACTTCTGGCTTGCCTGTCAGAAAGCATCAAATGGAGGCTTGCTAATTCAGGGCACTGTGTGTAGAACTAAGCCTTCTGTGTGTCGTCTTGGCTGGAGGGAACACCAGAAGGCCTCCGATCCCCTTTGTTGACGCTCCGATGGCATCCAAACTCCTACGCGTTGTGGACGGTTTTTCCTTTCAGTATTTAGTCTCCAGTGGGGACAGAGGGTTGTGAACTGCCACCTCTTTGTTCTTGCAACTTATCCTGTGGGATGCAAAATTCTAGTCCCCTTGAAGCAACAGGGAGACTGTGGCCGCTGGTGACTGATGCGGCCAGGCAGTCACACAGTGAAGACAGCAGTCTGTTGGCAGGGAACAGTGCAGTCTAGGACCACACGGAAGGCAGACATGCTGACCACACAGCATCAAGCAAAGAAAATAAGATTTTCTGCCTCTGTTTGGTAGGTTAGGACGGGAGGAATGAGGGAAGCAGTGTTGCAGAAAGTGCCAAGCTGGGCTGTTGATGAGAGTGTGGGAAGATTTGGGAGAAGGGAAAAATCAAGAGGAGGCTCTGTGCCAGGTAGAAGGCCATTGGGTTGATCTCTTTCCTTTCTGTTTAAACGGGGAAGCCTGCTGGGTGGGGTGGGAATGGGGCCAAGAGAGTAGCAGATCTGCTGGGCGAACATGGATGGTCAGACCTGGCAAGGATGTGTTGGCCATCTGGCCTCAGAGCCTGGGAGGCCGGAGACACAAAGAGGAGTAAGATTAAGAACAACAAGAATAAAAGAGAGTTAGACAATGACACAGAGGCAGTGTCCTACAAGGAGGGAAGGAGAAAGAGCAAAAGAAGTATAGCAGGTACAGAGGGGACTCCATGTGTCTGTGATGCAGCTCACGCCTCCCAGACAATCACCGGAGCAAAATAATATTACACGCATTAAAAACAAACAAACAGGGGTGACCTTGTAGCGCAGAGGAAAGCAGAATTCTGATCCTATGTGGTCCTGGGTGGGAATTGAGTTCCATGGGGACACAGTTTTCCAAATAACACATCACAGAAATCTGGAAGCTACTGTTTTAGATTAAAATCAATATAAGCAAGGACACAACCCTATACAGAAAAACTATAGACTATTTCTAAATATTAATTATACCTAAAATATATTGCAACACATAAGAAACCTGAGGGCATCTCATTATTGAGTGTTAAGGTCTTTTTAGAACACGTGGAGAAGTAAAATTACAAATGTCATTGGAGTGAGTTCTATGTTTCAGGGATGACATGTTCAGAACCCTTTTATTTCCTTTCATGGAGTCTTGTGACAAGCTAAGACACCTAAAACACCATTGGATGTATGCTGCTGGTTTTGTGATAATCTGACAAGTATTTGTAGGCCAGGGACCTGTTATGGAATAATAGTCTTTTTGTACACTGTGAAGATGTGTCTTTGCCAAGGTGCCTTCTGATTGGTTTAGTGAAAGAGCTGACTGACCTATAACTTGACAGGAGGTATAGGTGGGGCAGGAAGATACAAATGATGGTGGGAGGAAGGGTGGAGTCTCATAGTCATGAGCAGAGGCAGACAGAAGCAAGATGAACCTGTCATGTTGAAAGAATGCACCGTCACGTGGCAGAGGATAGACAAGAAATATGGGTTAATTTAAAATGCGAGAGTTAGCTAGTAACAAGCCTGAGTTGTTGGCCAAGCATTTATAATTAATAATAAGTCTTCCTATGGTTATTTGGGAACTGGCTAGTGGGGAAGAAAAACTCCACCCAAAGGGACCAGAATCCCACTGGCTTTAAGCTAATAGACTGAGGCATATTTTAGCTTCAGACACCTAAAAGACAGAGTGGACTACAGATAAAAGACCTCAATTATCCCTCCATATTCTGGGGCCTTGCAAGTTTTCATTCTTCATCCTGTCCAAGCCTGCCACCACTCACTTCCCCAACAAGTCCAGGATAGCCAGGAGTATGAGAAGCCTCGTATAACACAGACTCCCATGTCTCAAAAGAATTTAGATCAGCCCACAGTCAACAAACGCCAAAACATCTCAGAGAACCCACTCAAGATCCTAACCACCTCGTAGCTGATGACAGAGTATCTGAGACCAAAGGAGTTACTCAGTAGACTCAAGAGCAACCAGAACTACTTCCGAAACCGTGGAGTTACAGGCTCATTTGTTACACGGCAACCGGTGACTGCTATAGACGGACCCAAATGGAGACTTACCTGTGCATTCATACTGCAGACCTTTCCCATAATAGCCCTTCTCACAGACGCATTCAAATTGACCCGTGTGTGTTCCACATTTGCAACTGGCCATTCGGTCACAGCAGTCTTTTCCAGCTTCACAGAGATATGAGCAGTGGGCCATATCCTCTTGGATAAAACTCCCAGAAGGCAGATCTGCCAGGAACATAAGATATCAGGCGATCAAAACAAATCAACAACTTGTTGTTACATTGTCTAGTCATTACAGACCAAGAGCAAGCTGGAGAAAATAGCTTTTCTAACCTGTCTGGTTTGCCCCGGTTCCCTACCACCCACATACGAATGTGTGCTGTTTGCGGGAACACACTCTGGGGGTTAGCGTTGGCCAGTTCAGCTACTTCATTCTGGGATCTCATCCTAAGTGCTCGAGGCCACGTAGGGTCGGGCAGAAGTGAATTCCCACAGAGTGGAATCTCCAGCAGCATCAGGTAATCCATGCACTCGGTCCTTCAGCTCATTCCCCTGGCTTCCCACAGCCGTGTTCCCTGACCTCTGGATGAGGTCACGCGGCAGTAGCCAGACTTTCCAAATCCTTGTTAAAGTTAGAAATAAAACTCCAATCCTGACCACTGGGTAAGGACGCTCTGGGCTCCTGACTCTAGAATAAATACCGTCACATCTGGAGTCATTTGACCCCAGCACGTCACCACATAAGTTAAACAACGCAACCATAATCCAGTCTGCCCCTTAGTTTTAAGCATAGGAACACGTGTTATGTAGGAAGAGACAGTTCTGAGTATCTGCGCCAAGAGATGAAAGAAAGCATGGCAGGAATCCCCGTACAGAGCCGTTCAGAAACAGACTCAAGGCAGGGTTAAGGCCGCGGACGACTGAGCCAGGATGGATGGCCTCGAATGGAGCAAGCGGTTGGTACGCATCTCCCGCTGAAGAAGTTAAGAAATCTTAGCCTGAATTCCAGCACTAGGGTCAGGCTGCTCAGTCCAGATACAGGGATGGGCCCCTAGGAAGAATGCAAGTGGGTGACTGTTGGCAAAGCAGACAGTCTGCAGATGAAGATCTGGGAAGGAGATGAGAGAGGGCCTCAAATACGAACCGTCTGACCTTATGTTAAGCCTGTACTGTAACTAGGGGTGAAAATAAGGGAATGGCTCAGTCTCCAGAAAAGGAGCTCAGCAAAATCAGGCACCACATTAAAACCCCAGCCCGGAGACCACGCAATGGGTGAAAAGTTTTGCACAGCGGTCCCGGGAGTTAGTTCTGAGAATCTGGACCAGAGGTCTGTTGGCCACAGAAGACCTTAGGGAGCAAGGAAAGCCTGGCTACCAAAGGGGGTGCAGTAGCGTTCAGGCCTAGGGGAGGAGTAAGAGGGAACATGATGTAACCTGGGCCTCTGTGAGTGTTCAGAGCATGGAGACCGGACATCAGACTCACCCCTGAGGCCGTTACATCTTTTCGGTAAAAGCAGAGACTCTTCTGGAGAGTCAACCAAAGTGTGACACACTCTAGCAGTGAGTTTAGTGGAGTGAGTGTGCATGACAGTAAAACAACCTTTTCCTTGAAAGCCCTGTCTGCCCTTATTTCTTTGCTAACTCTCTTTAGGGCAGAGTCACCGGTCTCACAAGGCGAGGGACAACTGGGCTAGAGAGTCATTTGATATATCATGTATAGTTCACAGCATCCGTAACTTCATACTCTCGTCTAACAACACCCACTGCCCCCAACCCTAATCTCCCTGCTCCCCCAGCTAGCATGCCACTTTCTCTAAGAAAGGAGAAGCAAAGGAAGGTACCAGTTACTTCCGGTCACGTGCTAGATACTGCTGCCTTGGTAAAACGCAGAGATTTCATTCTCTTGAGAAAACCATGGTACATATTATTACATAATCCCTATATTTTGAAAGATGAGAATGTGAAAGCCCAGACTTGATTGCCTGAAGCAAATAACAACAAATGGCCCACTTTAATAAGCAACTGACAGCAAGAAAAGTAGATATTGAGCCTTTACACATACTATCAGGAATTCTCATTTTTATTGCATTTATATAGTGTATGTGTGTGTGGTCATACATTGGTCCCCTCTTTTCATCATGTAGGTCCTGGGGATCAGACTCAGGTTGTCTGCCTTAGCAGCAAACACTGTTTACCTAATGTTCCACCTTGCAGGCCTCATCTGCAATTCTCCAGTTGATTTTTGTGCCTCAGCCTACTTGACCCCCTATAGCAAGCCTACTCTATTGAGCAGAACCATAACAAGGGCCAAAGGACAAATAATCTACCTCCAAATCATCCACTTAGTAGATGATGAAACTGGGATCCAAATGCAAGAATTCTGAAGTTTTTATGACCTAGCTCTTAAAAATTAAACTTCAGTTATAGGCCTAGCATTTAAATCTAAGCCCTATTTTCCTCACCCACACTCACCCTCTCCCCACTTCCAAGCCCTCCTCTAAGTCCCCCTCCTTTTTCTAGGATTCCAACCCCCAATAAGCTTAGCTAGGCCCCCCACCCCTACCCAGAGAGTCTAATCCTTTGTACTAGATCCATAGCAATAGCCTGATAGTCCGCTGGAAACCGTTCTCTTGGAACTGCACCAGGGCTAACCTGCTTTTCGGTTTCTTTGCTTTTTGAGCCTCGCAGGGTGCTTCGGACCTATTGCTATGATTCCCACTTTATGCCAGATTTTTCGTTTGGGTACCTGCCAGAATCATGCCCAATTTGGCGCAGGGCTAAGTCTCCTGTCAGCCCCTCACAGTTCACATTCTTTTCTCCTGGCTCACATTACAGCCGGCGAGTTCATCTAACTGAGAGCTGTATGGCTAAGAATCCTTCTACGTGGTGCGTCGCATGAATGCATTTGCCAATTTTTCTCCACCTTTAAGACTGACGCTCTTATGACAAAAGCCATTTATCTCCAAGCTGTCAGGGGAAGAAGTATGTGTTAAGTGCTTAGCGTCCTATCTTCCTATTTCTGGAAACATTCTGATGAGATTCAGGGCTCATGCCTCAGAATGTTTACTTCATCTGTCCAGATAGCTGTAAAGGCCATCTCAGTCAAGGCTTCCCGCTCCGTGTGTGGCCTCCACGCACACCTCGATTCATCCCTTGGATCTAGGTGGGGACGTATGGATATTCTAGGTAAGATGCATCACAGCTGTTAAGAAACAAAGCAAAACAAGATTGCTGCCAGGTCAGCATGCCATCTCCGGGCAATTCAGAGTATTTCGTGACACCCAAAGCGCTCCCGAGCCTCACGGTCTGCCAAGAGCAATGGAAGAGCTTGAAATCACTTTTCTTCAGGCAACAAGGGAGAGAAAGAAAACAAAATAACAAACGAAAACAACATTTCAAGGTGCCTGTAATGCTATTAGCTTCCATTACCTTCATGCAGTGCCCTGCGAGCTAGAGCCTCAAATTCTTCAAAACTGTGGAGCAGGTAGCAGTGTTCGTCCTTCGGGGCGGAAGCCATGTCGTTCAGTTCCCGGATATTTCCCTGCCAAATCCCAAACGTGAAGATCTCCACTCCAAAGTCCCGCAGGGATGCTGCAATGGGTCTGGGGTCTCCGCCGTTGGAATAGCCATCGGTGATGAGAAATATGACTTTGGTGGCGTTCTCTCTAGAGTGACGAAGGATTTGCTGTAAGGACACAGGGAAGATCCGAGCGTGAGTGGCGCCGGCCCCTCTGCTTGCTTTCCCAGCTGAGGCAGGAGCTGAGAAACACCAGTCAGTGAGAGAAAACCAGAAACACAGACCGGGATTGGCTATGGCCTCACAGACGCTAAATGAGCCTCAAAACCATGTAAAAAGTGTCGTCGTCGTCATCATCATCGTTATAACCACGTCTCCATGATCCTCAGTACTACTGAGCTGGCCAATGAAGAACCAGGATTTACAGAATAACATTGACTCAATAACTACCACTTCCTGTGGAGCTAATCGTCTCTCAGGTCTCCTCCAGACCTGGAAACATGAACCAACCCGAGTTCTAAGCATCCGCACTGCACCTTTCTCTCCATCGAAACCACCCCCAGCCTCACTAGAGAAATTTACCAGAAAGTGTCTTTTTCAGGGCTTATGATGGCTGGACCTCCTGCCTATATTTGTTTTTCCACAACTCCTTCAGAAATGTAGAATTCATCCAATGCTTCATCTTTCTGGACCACCCAGGATTTGCATTAAATCAGCAGGTTTTGGCAGCATCCTATCTTCATGAGAAAACACGGCTCCCCTAACCCTGACATTCTAGCTTTATTGTTTTAGGACAGGTCATTCTGTTTTATGATGTGTGGAATTCCTTCTCCATGGACAGAAGCAAAGGGAAGCTTTTAACACTCCATTGCCAGAGAGGCTTTATTAAACCTCAGAGGTACCAGAGCTCCAGGTGTGGATCTAGCCTTTTCATCCATTGTCTATTGAGACTTTTCCTTAGAATTGCATGGGAAAGACAAGGAAGAGGCAGGATACATTTTCTAGCAAGATCTGAGAAGGCAGACTGGATTATCAGGCAACAATGGGAGAGCCACTACCTGTTTTCTAGAAAGTGGACCAGAATAGCAACAATTATACAATTTCTCAAAATTAAAATAAGATATGATCTGAAAAATTCGATTTCAGTTACTTTAGGGAATAGAATCATTAGTGAGTCTAGAAATTTTTTTTTGAGATTATAGGACCGATCTCCCAGTAAAGGAAAGCCTATCACTTGATACTCAAAGGATGTCACTTATAATTGAATTATTCTTACCTAAACTTTTTTATTGTAAGCTGCAACCCAAATTTAAAGAAAATCATACTGCAAATGACTCCAGAAACCATTAAAAGGGCCAGCAGTTTGAGAAGAAGTGTTTAAGCCTGTCCCCTCACATCCTAAGGATCAAGCCCAGTGATGTAAGCTAGGTCAGATGGGAGCCCCGAAAGACGGGCACATAAGGCTGGGTGTGTGACAAAACAAGACACACAGTGTTAACAGACATTCCTCAAATACACACCAGGGCCTCAATCAACAGTCTTTGTGGTCTTGGTTCTTAGAGTTTAAAAAACTGTCCCCTTGGTGAAGGACAAGTGGTCTGGGATGAAGGCATGCCAAGAGTGAGGTTGTCTAATCCCCAGACAAGAGCCTCTGGGGAGAAGGGGAGGGGTAAGGCTAGAGAAAGGAGATGTTCTTCTCTTATGTGAGACTCTGAGTCTGTACCAGTCTCTCTCCTCACCCACGGAGTCACAGAAAAGATGACAGATGGACGTCCCTTGAGGCACCAAGAATCACATATCCTCTTCCCTTTGAATAGTCAGGAGGGTGATGTGACCATGCGTGAGACCATTGTACAACTCAGAAAACAGAAGAGCTGAGATCTGAGGAAGGACCATTCCCCGGGCAGTTTTGCAGAAAGAGGGAAGATGAGGAAATCTAATCATGACTCAGTTGTCAAAAGTGAAGTACTGGAAACTTCTAGTTTTGAGTTTCTTGGATGCCCATAGATGGCCTTGCTGCTTCATCGGGTGGAAATGTGGATCAAAGGAAAAGTTCTGGGGTGGGGGTAGAGTGCGTGGCTAGTACGACTCACACCTGGGCTCCATCCCCAATACAACACTGAAGAAATGTCCACAGAATGTGATTCCACTCAGCATCAGTAAGATAGAGTTTTAAAAACCATCACTAGCTTGTAAGAAAATGTTTCTTTCCAACACACAGTTTCTCATCCCAATGGGACCTCGTGGTCCCTTGGGTGGTGAGTAGAGAGTCTCACTGGGACCAACGCATCTCCACACATTTATAGGATGAGAGATGAGAGGCAGGGAGGAGAGGAGAAGGCTCAAGGGTATGGGTGTTCAGAGCAGCAGCCGGGTATTTCGAAGGTAAGGGCGGTTTTGATTGGAAGTGAGATCCGCTGAGGGCAGGCTATTTAAAGTCCTCAGCAGCTGAGCCAGACAGCAATCTCAGTCTATAGCTACCAGTAAAGAGCAGCTCCGCCTTCGCTTGGGAGAAGGCCGCAGCGATTGCTGCCTCCTCCTCACCCCAAACCTGCTCAGTGTTCTCCTGTGCATTGCAATAGAATTCTTATTTATAAAATTCTTAAATACACTTAGAATTTTGCCTTGCTTTAGTGAACAGCGGAGACTACCTCCATTTTTACTCAGCTAGAGAATTATTTCCCCCACTCTATTCCCTAATCGAGCCTCTCCTTTCTGTCTGTCCTTGGCTAATGCCACAGAACTTGAGGTGCGATTGGTTTATAGTCTTTTTTTTATAACTGGAAAGGAAATTTTAACTATTTTTTCTTTTTCTTTTTTTAAAGTATTTGTGGTTAGACTTAAAGGTTTCTTTTGTCAGCTGAGCTTGAGAATCAGCTCATGAAATTCTTCTCTAAATTCTGTTTGACCCAGCAATTTCACTTCTAGGAATCTACCCAAAGACACACACACACTCACAACACACACACAGATAGACACACACACACACACACACACTCACAATCAAGGACCAAGCCCAGTAGAAATGAGCTGGCTGCAGTCTCTAAATACCATTGCCCACTAGAAGGTGCCAGAAATTTGTGAAGAAAGTGTTTTATTTCCGTCTGAGGGCAGGAAATGTACAACACAGGCTGGGGCTTCTCATGACAGAAGACAAAGAAGCCTAAGAACTAGCACAGACAAGCCGGAGAAACCAGGGGCAGCTGCGGAGCCCCCCCCCCTCCGCACAGCAGCGAGGGGCAGCTTGGGTGCGGACAAAGATGAGAAATTGGATGCACTTAAGTACCTCAAGTTTAGACTTACAGGGGTGTGTGTTTACATTTGTAGTATGTATGCATTAAAGGGGGAAGTTGTACAAGCACAAACAATAATTGGAATGGACTGAAACATCCATATGAACACATACTCAGTACTGTTTCTGGGGGAAAGCCCAGTTATCTGTTTGGAATGACATGAGGCAATTTGTAAAATCCAAATTTTCCATGTTTGGAGGGCAAACCTTCATTTCCAGCTCTCCAGGAGGCAGACGGTTGTGTCTGCCTCATCTTTGCTATCCGCCATGAACAAAGATAGAGATAGACACTCTCTCTTTTTAGTTTCACCCGGAAGCCACAATTGCATCTCCACAGACACTCCATAGTGCTCGTGGTCATTTTGAATGGCCAGTTGATGAGGGCATGGCTGCTAGCTGTAAGCAAGACATTGAAAACAAGAGCACAATGACGAAGAGGGAAAGAGAGAAGAGGACGTTTTCTTTTTCACTGTGGTCCTTTTGATCATGCTATCAAGAGTAGTGTATGTGTGAAGTATGTGCTCATAAGCATTTGTTCAGTGAACCGAGTGGGTAAACTCTCAGATGCTGGAGGGAGTTGGTCCTGAATAAGTAGGAGGAATGTGAGTGTGTAAACATGTGTAAGATTTGTACAAAATTTTCTCTAGGAGGAGTTGGAGAGAGGTAATAGAGGGTGGATATGATCAATAAACATCGTATAAATATCTGAATATTTCAAAGAATAACAAACATTTAAAATGATACTTAAAATTTAATTTTCTTTTTGTGCCTCTCAGAATGAACAAATCCTTTTCTGGAATGTTAGCCTCAGTTGACCCCAATGCCTTTCCCTCAGGTCTGAGTGGACATCGGCACATCCTTCTCACAGTTACTGCTCATCAGACACACAGACCCAAAGCTGGGTGGAAGGCAGAGAGATGGTTCAGTGGTTAAGAGCACAGGTTGCTGTTGCAGAGGATCCAGGCTTAGTTCTCATCCCCCACATGGTTGCTCAAAACCATCCATAACTCCAGTTCAAGGGAATCTGATACTCTCTTCTGACCTCCATGGACACCGGGAACACATGCAAATCAAACACTTGTATACACTAAGAAAAAATAAATAAATCTAAAACAAACAAAATACCCACAAAACCTTAAGCTGGGATTCTGCTATTTTTCTCTTGCAGAGGCGTTGGTGGGTATTTCCAGGAGCCATCAGCTCTGTTGGCAAGTCAATACATGGAACTGAAGACAGCGAGAATAATGGCAGGATCAGCGGTCCAGGCAAAGAGTTACACAAGATCTGGGTCTGGAATGTGCTTGAAAGATGGACGAGGGAGGATGCATCACTGAAAATGATTTACAGCTCTCCCCATCTTCTTGTCCCATTATTCTTGAATTAAAACACGATTCAATAAAACATTTTTCATACCAAGACTTCACAGCCAAACGAGTCTGTGGTAATGGCCATGGAATGTGGTAGAAGCTTGGCATTTTTCTTTTGTGTTTCTGAAATAGTTTACATCATCTGCTACATTTCTGGGGTGGGGGGGAGCGTCCAGAATGCTGAATGAGACAAAGAATTTGCTGCCAAAGAAAAAACTGGACATGGATTCTGTATGGCAAAAGGTTATCACCATCTGCATTGTATCAAGCCTCTGATTTGCTAGTATAAACAGCTGGCAAGGAAACAGGCTTCCTGCGTCCAGCAATAGTCATCAGAATGATAAAAATGCAGGATTGTGCAATTCAGGTTTAACAGGGAGATCCATCACCCTCACACAAGCTCCCACTGGCGCCCCTACCCAAAGCTTTTTTTTTTTCCCCTCCAAAGAGCGGCTGCAAAAAATGCTATGGAAATGAAAGGAGGGGGACAGGAAAAGCAGACAACACTT